TGCAATCACTGAATACAAACTGGAGTCCTGAATCTGAACATGCTCAGTACAATCACATGCCTATAACCCCTCCCACACCAAAGAGATAAGTCAAACTGGCAAATCAACATGCACATAGTATACAGGTTAGCAAATATATACATTAACAAATAAACAGTGAAAGACTGGGGAGGTGGCTCTTTCCAACACTATTGTTCTTTACCTAACTAATAGAAGTTGTTGCTTGGTGAGGGGAGGGTGGCGGGATGGGGAACACTGAGGAAGTGGGCATAAAGAGCAGCGAGAGCACGACATGGAAAGCACCACCCATGTGCCTCACTTGCTCTAGTTATAGATCCGAGCAGGTAACTGAACACTGAATGGAGGCCATTTCCCCTGCCTATGCTCAATTATGGCTTCAAAGACTTTGTGATGTGCCTTCAAGTCATTTCTGACTTATGCTGACACTATCATGGGGTTCTCCAGCAAAGGATCACCGCCTTGTCGGGGCGCTGGAGCTTGAGCACCTCAATGATGTCATGAGCGAAACCGTGAAGGGACACCCAAGACGGGACGGTTGTGGCTGAGAGGTCAGACCAAGCGTGATCCCTGGGGAAGGCAATGGCAAACCACTCCAGTATCCTTGCCAAGAAAACTAAATGGACCAGTACAACCAGAGATATGTCGGTATGCCATTGGAAGATGGGACTCCCAGGTCGGAAGATGGCCAAAATGCTACTGGGGAGGAGCAGATGATAAGTTCAACTAGCCCCAGATGTGATGACGCAGCTAGCTCAAAGCCGAAAGGAAGGCTAGCGGCCGACGGTACTGGAGGTGAACGACGAATCCGATGCTCTAAAGATCAACACACCATAGGAACCTGGAATGTAAGATCTATGAGCCAGGGCAAATTGGATGTTGTTATTGGTGAGATGTCAAGACTAAAGATAGACATTCTGGGGGGTCAGCGAACTGAAATGGACTGGAATGGGCCACTTCACATCAGATGACCACCAGATCTACTACTGCGGACAAGAGGAACATCGAAGAAATGGAGTAGCCTTCATAATTAATAAGAAATTCGCTAAAGCGGTGCTTGGATACAACCCAAAAAATGACAGAATGATCTCAATTCGAGTGCAAGGAAAGCCTTTCAACATTACAGTGATCCAAATATACGCCCCAACCACAGCTGCTGAAGAAGCAGAAGTAGATCAGTTCTATGAGGATCTGCAGGACCTACTGGATAATACACCAAAAAGAGACATTATTTTCATTTCAGGAGACTGGAATGCCAAGGTGGGAAGTCAAATGACAACAGCGATCACAGGCAAGCATGGTCTGGGAGAACAAAATGAAGCGGGACGCAGGCTGATAGAATTTTGCCAGGAAAACTCGCTGTGTATAACGAATACTCTCTTCCAACAACCTAAAAGACGGCTTTACACATGGACCTCACCGAGACGGTCAACACCGAAATCAGATTGACTACATCCTTTGCAGCCAAAGGTGGCGGACATCCATCCAGTCGGTGAAAACAAGACCTGGGGCTGACTGTAGCTCAGATCACGATTCTTATTGCCCAATTTAGAATAAAACTAAAGAGATCAGGGAAAATACACAGACCAGTTAGATATGATCTCACTAACATTCCTAGCGAATATACAGTGGAAGTGAAGAACAGATTTGAAGGACTAGATTTAGTAAACAGAGTCCCAGAAGAACTATGGACAGAAGTCCGAGACATTGTTCAGGAGGCGGCAACAAAGTACGTCCCAAAGAAAAAGAAAACCAGGAGGCAAAATGGTTGTCTGCTGAGACACTGGAAGTAGCCCAAGAAAGGAGGAAAGCAAAAGGAAACAGTGATAAGGGGAGATATGCCCAGTTAAATGCGCAATTCCAGAGGTTAGCCAGAAGAGATAAGGAACTATTTTTAAATAAGCAATGCATGGAAGTGGAAGAAGACAACAAATAGGAAGGACAAGAGACCTCTTCCAGAAAATTAGAAACATTGGAAGTAAATTTCAGGCAAAAATGGTATGATAAGAAACAAAGATGGCAGTGACCTAACAGAAGCTGAAGAGATCAAGAGAAGGTGGCGAGACTATACAGAAGATCTGTATAGGAAGGATAATAATATTGAGGATAGTTTTGACGGTGTGGTGAATGAATTAGAACCAGACATCCTGAGGAGTGAGGTTGATTGGGCCTTAAGAAGCATTGCTAACAACAAGGCAGCAGGAGATGACGGGATCCCAGCTGAACTGTTTAAAATCTTAAAAGATGATGCTGTCAAGGTGATGCATGCCATTTGCCAGCAAATATGGAAAACACAAGAATGGCCATCAGACTGGAAAAAAATCAACTTATATCCCCATACCAAAAAAGGGAAATGCGAAAGACTGCTCAAACTTCCGTACAGTGGCCCTTATTTCTCATGCCAGTAAGGTAATGCTCAAGATCCTGCAAGGAAGACTCCAGCAATACATGGAGCGAGAGTTGCCAGATGTTCAAGCTGGGTTTAGAAAGGCAGAGGAACGAGAGACCAGATTGCCAATATCCGCTGGATAATGGAGAAAGGCAGGGAGTTTCAGAAAAACATCTACTTCTGCTTCATTGACTATTCTAAAGCCTTTGACTGTGTGGATCATAATAAATTGTGGCAAGTTCTTAGTGGGATGGGCATCCCAAGCCACCTTGTCTCTCTCCTGAGGAATCTGTACAAGGACCAAGTAGCAACAGTCAGAACTGACCATGGAACAACAGACTGGTTCAAGATTGGGAAAGGCGTACGGCAAGGCTGCATCCTCTCACCCAACCTTTTTAACTTGTATGCAGAACACATCATGCGATGTGGGGGCTGGATGAATGCAAAGCTGGGGTGAAAATTGCTGGAAGAAACATTAACAACCTCAGATATGCAGATGACACCACTTCTGATATATTTTTTTTGCTTATATCTGATTTTGTGGTTATGAAGAATCTATGATATTATATCTGTGTGGAAGAAACATTAACAACCTTAGATATGCAAATGACACCACTTTGATGGCCGAAAGCAAGGAGAGCTGAGGAGCCTTCTAATCAAGGTGAAAGAAGAAAGCGCAAAAGCTGGGTTGCAGCTAAACATAAAAAACCAAAATTATGACAACAAGAATGACTGACAACTGGGAAATAGAGGGAAAAAACGTGGAGGCCGTGACAAACTTCGTATTTCTAGGTGCAAAGATTCCTGCAGCCAGGAAATCAGGAGACGCTTTCTTCTTGGGAGGAGAGCAATGACCAATCTCAATAAAATAGTGAAGAGTAGAGACATCAGACTGGCAACAAAGATCCGCATAGTTAAAGCAATGGTATTCCCTGTAGTCACCTACGGATGTGAGAGCTGGACCTTGGGGAAGGCTGAGCGAAGGAAGAGATGCTTTTGAGCTGTGGTGTTGGAGGAAAGTTCTGAGAGTGCCTTGGACTGCGAGAAGATCCAACCAGTCCATCCTCCAGGAAATAAAGCCCGACTGCTCACTGGAGGGAAAGATACTAGAGACAAAGTTGAAGTACTTTGGCCACATCATGAGGAGCCAGGAAAGCCTAGAGAAGACAATTATGCTGGGGAAAGTGGAAGGCAAAAGGAAGAGGGGCCGACCAAGGGCAAGATGGATGGATGGCATCCTTGAATTGACTGGACTGACCTTGAAGGAGCTGGGGGTGGTGACGGCCGACAGGGAGCTCTGGCGTGGGCTGGTCCATGAGGTCACGAAGAGTCGGAGACGACTGAACGAATGAACAACAACATCATGGGGTTTTCTAGCCAAGATTTCTTCATAGGGGAGTTGCCCCTGCCTTCATCTGAGATGGAGATTGTGCAACTTGAGCAAAGGCACCTACTGGTTTTCCATGGATGAGTGGGAATTTGGACTCTGATCTCCCTAACCCAGTGCTCAAACCACAATTTCATGATAGCTCTCATCCCCACCTTGAAGTGATCTGGTTTTCCACCTGGACTTTCTCATTCTTTTATGAAACAAAATCCTCCAAGTTTTTCCCTGTTCCAACCCTGCTGATACAGTTGTAATAGAAGTTTTAATATTTTCATGATATATGTTCCAACTTATTTGTAAATGGACCTCCCAGTGGCGCAGTGGGTTAAACCATTGAGCTGCTGAATTTACTGACAGAGAGATCAGTGGTTCAAATCCAGGGAGCGGGGTGAGCTCCCACTGTTAGCTCCAGCTCCTGCCAACCTAGCAGTTTGAAAACATGCACATGTGAGTATATCAATAGGTACTGCATTGGCAGGAAGGTAACAGTGCTCCATAGGTACTGTTTTGGTGGGGAGGTAACGGTGCTCCACTGAGCTGCTGAACTTGCTGAATGAAAGGTCAGTGATTCAAACCCAGGGAGTGGGGTGAGTTCCCACAGTAAACTCCAGCTCCTGCCAACCTAGCAGTTCAAAAACATGCAAATGTGAGTAGAAGAATAGGTACTGCTTTGGCAGGGAGCTAATGGTACTCAACTGAACTGCTGAACTTGCTGACTGAAAGTTCAGCAGTTAAAATCTGGAGAGCAGGGTGAGCTCCCATTGTTTGCTCCAACTTCTGCCAACCCAGTAGTTCGAAAACATGCAAACTGGAGTAGATTGATAGGTACCAATCTGGCGGGAAAGTAATAGTGCTCCATGCAGTCATGCTGGCCACATGGAAGCACTGGCTCTTTGGCTTAGAAATGGAAATGAGCACCACCCGCCAGAGTCGGACACCACTAGACTTAATGTCAGAGGGAAACCTTTACCTTTACCTTATGTTCTGACTTATTTGTAAATGTGAGATAAAGTACTCAACGTATTCAAATGGTGGAAGTGGGGGGAATATGAGTGTGGGCGAGCTGGCAGATGAATGGCTTTGCGTCAGGTCCCAATCCCGTGCGGTGTCGGGACTCCAGGGCCTCGGGGTCCCTCCCTGCCTCTCTCTTCCCAATGGCGCCCTTTCTTCCGGCGTCCCCCCCCTCCTCCCCTTGCTCTCTCTTACCTCTGGGTTCCTCGGCCTGTTTGGCAAGCTTGCGCAGGGCGGCAGCAAAGCTGGAGGAGGGTGCGGGCTGGACTGGCAAAGTGCTGGTGGCTGCCGGACTGCCACTGGGCACCAGGGAGCCATTGAGAGGAGAAGGGGTCAGGGGGCTGACGGTGGCCGTGGTCCGGGTCGCGGTGGAGAGCATCCCTAGCGAAGGTGACTTTGGCTCATGGCTCATGCCTGAAACAACGAAAAGAAGAATCCACGTCACGGGGAGAGAAGGAGTCATTCACATCACCCCAGAGGGTCAAACCTGACAGTCAAGAGGCACGGCAGCTGGGGAAGGTGGCCATTTGGACCCACGGGAGGCTTTCAAACGACTCCTTCCCCAAATTTCCTATGCATGCCTATCTCAAGAAGCGGTTTAGAAGGGGTTTTTGTCTTACTCCTCCTGAATGCCACTATCTCCTCCCCTTTTGAATACTTATCAGTGTGAGCTCTTTGAGGCAGAAAGTATTGCTTTTCCACAATAACATCCCTGTCGTTGTAATTACAAAAGCATTTTTCATCAGCCCTATTTACATGCGCTCCAGCCTCACTACAATGATGGTGCAAATCATGAAGGTCCCTCTGCATGTGCTATAAGCACACACAGTTTCTGCCACCCCAGCGGTGCAATGGCTTAAACCCTTGTGCTGGCAGGACTGGTCAACCAACAGGTTGGCGGTTTGAATACGGGGAGTGGGTTGAGCTCCCATCTGTTGAGCTCTAGCTTCTCATGCAGTGACATGAGAGAAGACTCCCACATGATGGTAAAACATCAATCATCCACGCATCCCCTGAGCAACGTCCTTGCAAATGGCCAATTCTCTCACACCAGAAGCAACTTGAAGTTTCTCAAGTCACTTCTGACACAGAAAAAACAACAAAACAAAGCACATCATTTTCAGCACTCTTGGTTTTGTATCAACACTAACTATAAGTAACGATTTACGAGTAGCATGAGCTCAAAAATCTACTACATATCCATGGAGGTGACGCCATGAGTTTCACCAACACTAGGGATGCAGCTGTAGCTAAGATTGAAGCCAAGTGTGTAGAGATTGTAGCCAGCTGCAGTTTGAACACAAACAGCAGAGTTGCTTGCTCTGCCACCAAGTTCATATTCAAATGGCATTAGCATTTTTAGTTTTGCTTTTCGCCCCCTGGTAATGGAAGACATTTGAAGAGCATACCCTAAACATAAAAGGGCGAGTAAAACTTGGTCGTCCAATTTCATGGCAGTTTAAGCAGTGTCTAGAAAGTCACTGAGCAGAAAATGGGAAATGAAGACCTATTTTAAACCATCTCCAACTCGCAACCTTGCTATATGGCTGTGAAACGTGGACTGTCTACAGATGTCACGCTCAACTCCAGGAACGATTCCATCGGTGTAGCCTTCAAACAATACTGCAAATCTCTTGGGAAGACAAATGTCAGCATGCTGGAAGAAGAAGAAAAAGCCACCAGCCTTGAAGCGATGCTCCTGTGTCATCAACTCTGCTGGATTGAAGGCCACATTGTCCAAATGCCCAAAGATCACTGACTCCCAAAGCAGTTACTATACTTCAAATTCAAGGACAGGAAATGTAATGCTGGTGGACAGGAAAAGAGATTTCAAGATGGGCTGAAAGCCAACCTTAAAAACTGTGGCATAGACACCGAGTACTGGGAAGCCCTGGCCCTTGAGCGCTCCAGCTGGAGGTCAAGAATGGAAAATGGAATGTTGGAGGACAGGAAAAGAGATTTCAAGATGGGCTCAAGGCCAGCCTTAAAAACTCTGGCATAGACACTGAGAACTGGGAAGCCCTGGCCCTTGAGTGCTCTAACTGGAGGTCAGCTGTGACCAGCAGTGCTTCACAATTAGAAGAGGCACAAATGGAGGGCGAAAGGGAGAAATGCACCAAGAGGAAGAAGGTGCGTCAAGCCAACTCCGACCACCTTCCATCTGGAAATCGATGTCCTCACTATGGGGGAACATGCAGATCAAGAATAGGGCTCCACAGCCACCTACGGACCCACCACCAAGACACTAGGGTTGGAGGGCCATCATTCTTGGGCTATGAGGGATCACCTAAGTAACGCTCAAGAAAATGTAGTCTCAGCAAACCCAATCCCTCAGATGGAATCTATATTGCCAGCACCTTCAGAGTGGATTCTTAGGGTCAATCCATCACCTTCCTGTTGTCCCTTGAAGACCTGATTCATCTACCGGTTGGTGACCCGGGCCATGGAAGGTGTGAAGGAGAAATGCCCATTCAAGACACGGACACCTTGGGCAGGCTTAGAAGGGCAAGCCAAATCTCAAAGGGAGGCCTTTCAAGAAGAGACCCGCTGACAGCATCTCTCTTTCCTGGCAGCAGACACAAAAGGCGCCCTGCTCCCTCCGCCCCTTCCAGTCAGATCAGAGGCAGAACCCAGGAAGAAAAAGCAACCAAAGCGGAAGCTTTCAAAAGAGCTGCTTTTGCAGGATCTCAGCCCCAGGCGAGCAAGCGCCTTTCTGCCTTCCGGTGGGAGTCGCAAGTTGCCAGGAACAATCTGCTTTGCACACACAGCCCCTGAACCTTTGGAGGAGACTCATCTCCCAAGAAACGCCCACACACGTCCATGCGCACGCACACATGCACTCCCCCCTCCAAACAATACATCAAACGCCACCCCGGCATAAGGAGCATCTATAGTACCAGCCTCAGCCGCCTCCTGCAAAACAACTGTGTGGAGGAAATCAAAGCGCTGACACAGGCTGGGCCTGAGGGGAACTTGTGGGTTTCCATCTGTTTGAGGAAGACAGAAGCAGAGAACAGGGATGGAACAAGGACTGGTTCGGGAATTTGGCTCCTCCAGAGCGCAAGGAAGTCAGAGCATGGCTCTGGGTATCCTCTCTTTCTGTATCCTCACAGCCCATTCTGGCTTTTGCAGATACCCAAAGGGTGAATTGCTTAGACTCGCTGAGTTAGACAATATAAGGGTATATTACACGTCCCTCCCCATCATCCCCCAATTGGAACCCCCGGTGGCGCAGTGGGTTAAACCCCTGTGCCGGCAGGACTGAAGGTCACAGGTTCAAATCCGGGGAGAGACGGATGAGCTCCCTCTATCAGCTCCAGCTCCTCATGTGGGGACATGAGAGAAGCCTCCCACAAGGATGATAAAAACATCAAATCATCCAGCCGTCCCCTGGGCAACATCCTTGCAGATGGCCAATTCTCTCACACCAGAAGCGACTTGCAATTTCTCAAGTCACTCCTGACACGATAAAAAAAAATCCCCCAATTAACCCCCGGTGACAAAACAGATTAAACCAGTGTTTCATAACATGGGGGTTGGGACCCCTGGGAGGGGGGTCACGAGGGGGTGTCAGAGGGGTCGCCAAAGACCATCAGGAAACATTGTATTTTCTGTTGGTCATGGGAGTTCTGTGTGCCAAATTTGGTCCAATTCCATCGTTGGTGGAGTTTAGAATGTTCTTTGATTGTGGGTGAACTATAAATCCCAGCAATCAAACCCCACCAGTATTCAAATGTGGGTGTACCGGGTATTTGGTCCCAATTTCATCCAATAAATGAAAAAACATCCTGCATATCAGATATTTACATTACAATTCATAACAGTAGCAAAATTACAACGAAAACAATTTTATGTTTGGGATCACCATAACATGAAGAACTGGATTAAGGGGTTGCGGCATTAGGAAGGTTGAGAAACACTGGGTTAAATCCAACATATAGTATGGGAATTTCTTCAGAACTGTCTCAGCGCCTGCTCCAGCTGAACAGCCAGGGTCAAGCTGTCTTCAGCAATAATAATAATAATAATAATAAATTAAATCCTTGTACCGGCAGTAGTGCTGACCGATAGGTCAGTGGTTCAAATCTGGGGAGAGAGGGGTTAAGCTCCCCCTGTCAGCTCCAGCTCCTCATGCGGGGACATGAGAGAAGCCTCATACAAGGATGGTAAAATATGAAACATTCAGGCAATGTCCCCTGGGCAACATCCTTGCAGACAGCCAATTCTCTCACACCAGAAGCAACTTGTAGTTTCTCAAGTCACTGTTGACAAACACACACAAAATAATCCCCCAATTTGAGTACAACCCCGTGCTCCTTCCTCTCCCAACGTCAGAGCTTGCACGCTCCTGTCTTTGAGAGCGGCATTGCTGATGTTGGGTCACTTAAAATAGAATTTCAAATGAGCAGCTTCATTAGCTCTGCTAAAATTAGCATTGCTCTGTCAGCTTGTGTTGCAAGGTAAGGGAGGGAAGAGAAGGGGGCACGAAACAGAAGGGCAGCAATGGAGTTGGAGGCCGTGGGGAGCCCGTGGCCAAGTCAGCACCTGAACCTGAGTCTTCTAGTGTCTCACCCCAACACTCAAGCCACAACATCGCTGCCTTCTTTCTCCATCAGAAACACCCCAAGAGACTTCTCATCGGGATGTCTGACCTCTCCCGGATTAAGGAGCCCCACTGGAGCCACAAATCCAAAAATTGCAATTTTCAGGTTCGTGTTTTTTTACAACTCAGTGTCTAGGCCTTAAGGCTGTGAAGATTGCTTTGGGAGTATAAGGCTGGGGAAGGTCTCGAATGCCAGAGAAGATACCCGAGAAGGATTCCCTTTGTCTCAGGAGTAGACATTTGCCCAAGGACGAGCAGGGGTGGAAGACATGGTGCTAAATAAGCAAATCTATGCAGAAGTGCTCTCCTCGCGTTAAGAATGGCAAGTCACCCAGCTTTCCTCAGCACAAAACCATCTAAACCAGTGTTTCTCAACCTTCCTAATGCCGCGACCCCTTAATCCAGTTCCGCATGTTGTGGTGACCCCCAATCATAACATTATTTTCATAGCTGCTTCGTTACTGGAATTTTGCTACTGTTATGAAACATAATGTAAATATCTGATAAGCAGGATGTATTTTCATTCACTGGACCAAATTTGGCACAAACACCCAATAATACATCCAAATTTGAATACTGCTGAGGTTGGGGGGGGGGGGTTGTTGATTTTTTCATTTGGGAGTTGTAGTTGCTGGGATTTATAGTTCACCTACAATCAAAGAGCATTCTGAACTCCTCCAACGATGGAAAGGAACCAAACTTGGCACACAGAACTTCCATGCCCAACAGAAAATACTGGAAGGATCTGATGGGCATTGACCTTGAGCTTTTGGAGTTGTAGTTCATCTCCATCCAGAAAGCACTGTGGACT